GAAAGGGAGCGTGGATGGCTCAGAGAAGTGCATTCTTAATTTTGGAGATAAAATTCCGAGTGGTGGGAGGTGAGAAGGGATCATCATCACCACCGTCTCTCAGTGGGCCATTGCAGCAGCCTAACTTGGTCTGCTAGCTTCCTCTCCCACTCCCCCAGTCCATTCTCCACAAAGCAGCCAAAAAGGCAGGCTGCTTGGAACATGAATCAGATCCCTCCCATGCTTAGGATCCGAACGTCTCGTATGACCCACAAGGCCCACGTGGTCGGGTTCCTTCCACTTCCCCAACCTTATTTCCTCCGTGTCTTCCCCTCATGCACTATACGCCATCGGCACTGGACTCCTTGCCACCCTTTGAACATGTCACGTTTGTTTCCAGCTCAGCCCTTTTCCTGGAACCCACTTCTGACAGCTCTTCCCAAGTCTGGCTCCTTCTCATCGTTCAAAACGCAAGTCATACATCATCTCTTGAGAGCAGCCTTCCTTGACTCTCCTAGTGAGAGTAGTCCTCGCCCTGTCACCACACAGCCCATTTCTCTACTTATTTTCTTTTTTTTTAAATTTTTATTTATTTATGACAGTCACACACACACAGAGAGAGAGAGAGAGAGGCAGAGACACAGGCAGAGGGAGAAGCAGGCTCCATGCACCGGGAGGCCGACGTGGGATTCGATCCCGGGTCTCCAGGATCGCGCCCCGGGCCAAAGGCAGGCGCCAAACCGCTGCGCCACCCAGGGATCCCTCTACTTATTTTCTTTACAGAACTTACAGTAGAACTGAAATTATCCTCGTTATTGATATATTTATGTGTTTACTGTCTTCTCCTCCCACTAGACTGTACGCTCATGAGAGCAGATAATTTATTTGGCTCACCACTCTATCTCCAGTGCTTAGCACAAGGCCTGGCACACACTAGGCTCTCAATAAATATTAAATGAATGGATTAATTAATTGATAGTGCACATATGTTAAAGGAAAGATGTCTTTTTTTAGGAAAGATTTTATTTATTTATTCATGAGAGACAGACAGAGAGAGAGAGAGAGAGAGGCAGAGACACAGGCAGAGGGAGGAGGCTCCATGCAGGGAGCCTGATGCAGGACTCAATCCTGGGACTCCAGGATCACGACTTGGGCTGAAGGCAGATGCTCAACCACTGAGCCACCCAGGTGTCCCTAAAGGAAAGATTTCTAAATGACCTTGCTTTTCACTCTCTCAGAGAGGAAGGTGTTCTTTTGCATCTAGGTTTCAAAGGGAAAATAAGTTGGGTCCCAGGGGTTCTGTTCTTCTACCCGTGTGCTCCACTGACAATTCTATATATGAGAAACCCTATTTACCTGGACATTCCCTGTAGTGCGGGTCCCTCGGGAAGCACCTGGATTGGAGGAAGGAGGTGGAGGTGGAAGGGAGGTAAGTAAGTGTTGAGTGTTTTCCAAACCAATCTTCCCATCACACATACATTTTTAACGCTGTCAGAATTTAATTTGTTATAGGAAGCTGGAAGCAGTCGCGGTGTGTGTAAATAGGCAGCTGTGGGAAGGCTGCAAACGTTTCCGCAGACCAGTCGAGGACGTCCGAAGCCATTTGATGCATGGGTCGCTGTCCCTGGTGCTGAAATAATAGGCTCCGCTGGCACCCGGGCCTCCCGGGCGGGCCACCTCTGTCGGAGGTGCTGAAACAGCCTCTGCGAGCCCCCCCGGGGCACGTGGTCACCAAGCCCCGCCAGGGTTGGGTCACCGTAATGACAGCTGTTGGAGACCACCTGGCTGGTCTATAATTCAATTCTAATTTGGCATCTCTTGAAGTTAATCCAGGAGCTGCTGCGACAGCCATCCTATTCTGCTCTAGGGAGAGTGGCAGGGCTATGGGATGATGAGAACTTTTGGCAGCTCCACGGGGCATGTCCAGACTCAGGCGTTGTGAGCCACATCAATAATGCCACGAGGAAGGACAGAGGTGCCACAGGTCGTGGTTCACAGTCTGCGTTCACCATGACACCTGTCAGTCGAGCCTTACACTGCATGGCCTGCAGTGGTGCCTCTGCCTGAAGACCCCCACGCCTCATTATCCTCGTTTGGGCAATGGGCAGGTGTGTTTCCCGTTTCCCTCAGGATGGAAGATAAAGCACAAGCTCTGTGAATTTCATGGCCCTCAAGAAGTGATTGACAGATGATGGTTCAAATTTTGGACTGATGGAGTGGAGTGACCATTTAAAAATATCGGCTAGTCATTTTGAGGAGTGACTTGTATAAAATACACACATCTTAAGTATACAGCTGACAAGTGTGTGTGTGTGTAACCGCCATCCAGATAAAAATACAAAACACTTTTAGCGCCACCTCTTTGTGTTGCTTCCCACCCCTTTTCTGACACATCATCATAGATGAGTCGTTCTTGTTCTTGAACCTCACATAAATGTATTTGCTCTTCTGTGTCTGGCTTCTTCCATTCAACGTTGTGTCTTGAGATTCATCTATGTCGTTGCATAGAAGCAGTTCATTCTTTTTTTTTTATTTCTGTATAATACTCTTTTGTGTAAATAAACCACAGTCTATTGATCCATTCTACTGTTGATGGACGTTTGAGTTGTTCCCAGTTTGAGGCTGTTATGAATAAAGCTGTGAACATTCCTGTGCGTGCCTTTTGATGGACAAAGCACTCATTTATGTTGGGTTTATACCCAGGAGTGAAATTGCGGATCATAGTATACAAATATGTTTCTTTTTTTTAATTTTTTATTATTTATTTATGATAGTCACAGAGAGAGAGAGAGGGAGAGGCAGAGACACAGGCAGAGGGAGAAGCAGGCTCCATGCACCGGGAGCCCGACGTGGGATTCGATCCCGGGTCTCCAGGATCGCGCCCTGGGCCGAAGGCAGGCGCTAAACCGCTGCGCCACCCAGGGATCCCTACAAATATGTTTCTAAAGGGGGTTGCATCAATTCACAGTCATCTTTTATTTTTTTTAATTTTTTTTTCACAGTCATTTTTTAAAAATGAATTTCTCCTTTCTGATTTTGCCTTTCTTCATTCTTTTGAGCAACAGAGACGTTCTAGGGAAAAACTCTGTTTCAACAATGTGGCTTTAGATTTTCCTGGGACATTTTATTGATCAATATTGATTCAATGACTATTCCCCCACTAGTCTCTTCCTAGAAACCAGAGACATTCTTCTCTCAGAACCTTTCCTGTCTTTGGTTATCGCCATGACTGACTCCTGTGATGGAATGTGAACGAGATGATGCAGAGCCTCGATTGAATAACCTTCTCCTTCTTCCTCCACGCCCCAGTTACATGTCTGAGAGAAGAATCTGTTCAAGAGGAGCTGAGAACGTGGCATTTATCTCCCAGGGCAATGGAGGACTCTTGGGAGCTCAGTTAAAAATCTGCAAGGAATCTTATGCTCCAAGAATGAGATGGGGTTAGGTAGCAGGGAAAATATCAAGCTCCTTCTCCTTTGTTCTTTCCCATTCTTGTCTTTTCTCCAGATTTTATGAGATTTGGGAGCATTGTGTCTACTGCTAGTTTACAATGTTTAAATAATTTTAGGATTCAAATTTGGACTGTATTATTGACAGCTCAACAATCTCAGGGGCACACGTGGAGTATTTTACAGATCGTCTTAAACATTGATCCATTCATTAGAAGACCCAGTGCTCACAGTCTGCCTCACCTCCCTAGCTATACTCCCTGGCCTTGGGGTCATGAGATTTTCCATTACACGTCTACTTCCTTGTAAAATCTCTCTCCGTTGTTCTATGCTCCCCTTTTAAAAACACTGGTTCTCTGTCCTTCTCCCTCACTCCTTTCCTCTGGACCTCTTGTTTTCCCTCTCTGCTTCCCCTCTCACTTCCTTTTGTTTGGCATTCCCTTTGGAGAAAAGATGTTTGGGTTCTGAACAGCCCAAATGGCTGGTAAAAAATAAAACGAGGCTCCAGTGTTCTCCTGAGATGGAGCTAAGGGTTCTCATAGCCCCTTTAGAGGTAACAATAGAGATGGATAATGGTTTGTACTTTATGAAATGGAAGCAATCAGGGCTATGCCAACAAAAACCAAAGACCTTCCACCCTGCCTTTCTGCGTTGGGGTTGGAGAAGCTCTTGGCCTGAGAGTTAAAGGACTTGAAACTTAGGATGAGGAAGGATAGTAGAACACATTTGTGGTGTACCTTGACTTGGATCCCTCTGGCCTAGGGAGTTGGGGGTCAGGCAGGCAATGGTGGGACAAAAGAGGGTGCGGTGTTTACCGTGGGGCCCTGGGAATCTTGGAGGGTCGCATAGGTCCTCGATATGTCTTTAGGGAGTCCCGGCAGGACTGGGATTAAGAGCTCTGCCTGTCTCAAGGTCATTTAACTTCTTCATCAGCCGTCAGGGCTACCTGCAGGTCATACAAAAAGTGATCTCACAGCTGCAGGATTCTCTCCTGGCCCACCCTGCCCCCCTGGCCTGAAGATGGTCACTGTCAGCACTTTCCCTCTCTATGTAGATCAATAGGGCCCTTGGATATGACCTCAAGTTCAATTATGGCTTCAATTATGGAATAAAGAGGCTGTTATTGCACACCTACCTCTTATTAAAAACACTACACTGGGGGGCTGGCAGAGACTGGACCTGGGGGAAATCATTAGCCCACTAATTTGAAATCAATTTAAAATGCATTTGCTTAATGGTATAAGCCTAGTGAATTATCTATGAATTGTTAATTTAGTTGAATGTCACACCAGATTTTCATTTTATAAATTGCATTTTGGTGTTGGCAAATGTATGTGTCCTTTCTCTCCCCTCCACCCGTGCTTCCTCTCTTTTCCTAAAACAAACCTTGATAATCCATCTTCTGGGATTCAACCTGTAACAGGAGGGTTGAACACAATTCGAGCCATAGTAGGAGGCCTCGTGCACTCCCACTCGTTCCCCGGGAACCACGACACCGCCTTGTGAATAAGCCCGGTGAGTGACACATCGCCCCGTGACCCCTGTTCCTCCGGCCTGACGGTCAGCCGAGCCCCCAAAGCAAAACCACTCAGCTAACCCACAGCTGACTGCAGACGCAGGAGGGCGCATCTAGGATCAGAACAACCACCCAGATGAGCCCAGCTTAATTTAATTAGCTTACAGACTCATGAGCTAAATAAATGGCCGTTGTTTAAGCCACTGGTGTTTGAAGTGGTTTGGTAGGCAGCAGTGGAGACTGGTGTGTCGGGACTCAGCTCATGTGGCTTCCACGGGTTGGAACCCAGGCAGCCTGATGGTCTGACCACGGGGAAAGGATGTGTCCCAAGGTATCAGATGCCTCAAAGCCCCCCTGCGGCCCAGAGTCTCCGAGTGGGACCCTTGGAATTCAGGGATCCAGGGGACAAGGCGGGGGGAGTCTCGCCTCAGCTTCGCCATTTACTGTGGGATCTTGGAAGAAATCACTTCACCTCCTGAGCCTCATGCTTCTCCTCCGTAAAGAGGGGGCGCTGGTCGGCCTGCTTGGCAAAGTCGTGAGAAACTGATGAGACGGCAGCTCTGGAACCGCAGGGCGCTGTACACACTTTATTTAGCGCATCTCTCTTTTTATCGTAATAGTGTCATCGATGCTCTCTGTCCCCGTCGACGCTGCCGGCACCACCGAGGCACAGCAGATCGTCGCCGGGTGCGGAGGCCATTGCATGCAGGAGGAACTGACCTTGGGGTCAGCCAGCCTGGGTTAGAATCCCACCACTGGAGAAGGTGGGTGATTCACTTTCTTCTTTGAAAAATGGGGGATACAATCCTCCTTTCGGGGAGGGTGGTAGGGATGAAGCGACTTCAAGGCATGTGGGAGGGACCCAGTTACACGTCAGCTGCCCCCAGTCCTCCCTCTCCGCCCGCCCTGCAGAGTTGTTTTTGTCAAGCCAAAGCAGATGCACCCGGAGGGCACTGTGGCGGGCAGAGCAGGGCGCCCGGGGGCAGCCTGGGCAGAGGCCCTTCCCTCCCCACGCAAGCCAGGTAGGTACAAGCAGCACCTCCGTCAGGTGGCCTGTGCAGAACAAAGGCTCCCCGGTCTGCTGAGAAGCCACGTCCTTCACCTCGGGTCCTTCTGACAAGAGTCGGGGAGGAGGTGACGGCAACGAGGGATGGCGTGGCTGGAGAGCAACAGGCACCTGTTCATTCCTCCTCCTGCAGCGAAGCAACGCAAGGGCAGCGCTCTGGCCCAGTTCTGACGAGACAGTCCCCATTCTCCAGGTGGGCAGACGGAGGCTTCAAGGCGCAGGGAATTCATTCGGTCAAACATATTTACCGTGAGTGTATCTATGCCAGGAGCTGGGGATGTTCAGTCTTTGCCTTCATGGACTATGACCTCGTGGGGAGAGAGAGACAAGTAGAAGGTCACTGAAAATACAGGGCAGAAGCAATCCAAAGGGCTATGGGGTCACATCGCAGGACAACCAGCCCAGACTTGGGGCACCCCTGAAGGCGTCCTGGTGGGAGCTGAGTCCTGAAGGGTAGAGAGTTGCGGTGAAGGTGCAGTAGGGGAGGAGCGCTCGAGGCAGGGGGGACCGTCTGCGGAGGTGGGGGTGAGCCACGGCACCACCTGAGGTACAAAATGGAGGCAGTGGCGTGAGATAAAAATGGGGAAATTGTCAATGAGATGCTAAAAGACCTTGAAGGACCTTCAACTTTATTGTGCAAGTCATGGTTGGTGCTTCCATCAGCTATTGTCGCAATAAAGCTGCAAAAAAAAAAAAAAAAAAAATCCAACCAGCCAACCAAAAACTACCTAAACTTGGTGGCTTCGATCACTAGGGTCCGCTGGGCGTCATGAGATCTGTGCAAGGACCAGCTTCTCTTGGCTCCGGGCTCCAGCTGGGGTCAAGTCTGTGCCGCAGCTCTCGGCCTTTGGGACCCAGCGGGCTCCCTGGGCATGGCTTTCCCTCGGAGGAGCTGTCAAGTCCCCGCAGGCTCCCATATTTCAGGTCTTGGCTTGCTCTACTCCTGCCAGCATCCCAACAGACAATTTAGAGTCACAAAGCTAGACCCAGCCTCGGTGGCCCAAGAAAACATACTCCCCCCCACAGTTGAAGAAAAGCTAATTGGGGAGTAAATGGCTCCTGTTTATTGAGGTGCTTTGCAACTCTAAGCACATAAATGCTGCCCTGAGTTGGGTGAAACCTGCTTTGTAACAATGACGGTGGTCGTGAGGATGGTTCAGCGGGTCTCGCTGCGGCCAAGCCCTCGGCATTATCTTACCTCGTTCAAAATGCGACAACCATGCACGTGGGTTATTCTATTTAATGGATGAGCAAACAGGCGGAGATAGAGCAAATGACTTGCTCAAATCCACACAGTTAATGGAGGCGGAAGGAGGACACAAAACCCCGGGTTCCATCACCCCGGGCTGCCTGTCCCAAGCAGCCCCTGCCTGCCCGACTCCGGGGGAGGGGGAGGGACGGGCGCCAGGCAGCGCCACTCTCCCCATCACTCCAAAGGCTCTGATGGAACTGGCTCCAGAGCGGGTGATTGTCCCTTGTTTCTGCTCAGCGACGGGGCAGGGAGCAGCTGCCACCCAGCCAGCTCCCAGCGGTGCCCGGATTCAGCGGCGCCTCTTCTGGGAGGGGGGGCTCCCTCCCCTTCTTGCTCACTGCTCTCCCTGGCTCGCTTCCCCTCCTCCAGGGCCCCCTCTGCCCTGCAGCCCGAGTGAGCTAAGGAGCAAATGAAACCTACAGCTCTCCTCTACTTAAAAAAAAAGAAAGAAAGAAGAAAGAAAGAAAGAAAGAAAGAAAGAAAGAAAGAAAGAAAGAAAGAAAGAAAGAAAGATCCAGGTACTGCATTCCTGCGGTCAAAAACTCCAAGAATGTGAAAAGATTTATTAAAAAAAAAGTCTTCCTTCAGCTGTTGCCGGCCGTCTGCGGGGTCGGCCCATACCCGCAGGTAGCCGGTGTTCGGGCTCGTCCCAGGCTTCCCTCAGGGTTTCCTAATGCTGAACAAGCAGAAGTGAGATTCTGTCCTCTCACCCCCACTTTTTTTTTTTTTCAGACACACGAGCTAGCAGGTCTTACACACACTTTGCAGCGGTGGGTGCCCTGTGCGAAGGTTTCACGGGCGTGTCCTGGTGTCGGGAGGGGCCGGCGCATCCCACCGGTCCCCGTGCTGAGGGACAGTTAGGGGTCCCAGGCCTTGGCGACACCGGCTCAGCTTCCGTAACGTCTACACTTGACCAGCGCAAGATTATCTGCGGGATAAATTCTCAGAAGTGGGCCTGCTGAGTCCAAAGGACCACGCGGCGTGATTTTGACGGTTAGTCGGGTTCCCCCGTAGCTCTGCCGACGGAGGGTGTCATCAGATGCTTCGATTTTTACCAATTGGATAAACTTAAAATGTTCTCTTGCTTTAAAAGAGAAAACCCTTCATCACATTCCCATTGGGCTGGGATAGAGTCCAGCTTCCTTGGGCCGTCGGGGGTCGGGGGGGCGGGCACGGTGTCGTCCTGCCTCAGGGGCCTCCTGGCCGCCAGGAAGGCAGATGCAGGCGCAAGTCAGGGTCGCACGGACTCGGTGCTCCCACAGCCGCGAGAGAAGAGGGAGGCTTCACGGAGAAGGTAGCGTCTGAGCTGAACCTTGGGCCACAGGTCGTATTTGACGGGTATTAGTGGGGAGAAGAGCGGGGGCCCCGAGCGCCCGTCTAGTGGACAAAGCCTGGGGCAGGTGAGCAGTCTGGGAGGCTGGAGGACCCGGGAGGTGACCTGAGGGGCCTTGAGGCCGGCCCGGGCAGGCCTTGAATGTCACCCGTAAGAGCTGGGCTTAAACTCGTAAATGATAAACGCCTGAAGCCTCCGGGGGAGACTGTTTAGTTAGGACTCTTGATTCAAAGTGAAAGAGCCTCCCTCAAAGTGGCTTAAGGGAAAGGAGACTGACTGGCATAAGAAGAGATCTAGGTGTGTTCAGCTTCAGGCACGGCTGGATCCAGGGGCTTAAGCGATGTTATCAGAAATTCGACTTCTATCCTGAGGTCTGCTCTCCTCTGTTTTGGCCTCACTCCTAGGTAGGCTCTCGGCTTTCCTCCCACGATGTGGAAATAATGGTCAAAAGAGAGTCTGTCTTTGCCAGAATCCCAGCAAGTCCCCAGGAAGACACTCATTGGACTGACTTAGGCGGGGTGTCCAGCCCTCAACAGAGCACTGTGGCCCGCGGGCGGAATGTGCTGATTGGGCGACCCTGGGTTACCGGGGGGGGGGTAACGTAAGGGGGTAATCGGGGCAGTGTGCGCGGGGGACGGTGGCCAGCTTCTGCCCACAGGTCCGGGATGGGGCAAGATCCTCGAAATAAAAATCGAGGCACGGCGACCAGAAGAGGGAAGGATGGGCGTGTATGAAGGACAGATCAAAGGTGGGCGAGCCACGGAGGAGACGGTCAAGTCTGCACAGAGGATGGGGAGAGGCTCCCCGGGCACCCGTCTGCGGAGCCTTGAAGGGCGGGGCGGTGCAAAGGCTAGGCCTGAGCCCCCCAAGACGCGGTGGAGGGTGGACCCTCGGCCCCCAGAGGCTGGCCTCATATTGCACATCCGTTCGGAGCGGCTAGCATTTCACAGGCCTCCGTGGGGCCTTGAATGCCAACGACAATGGCGTTTAGCCCGCTGAGCGGGTGTGACCAGCACCTGAACTCCGCTGGGCGCCCCAGGAGGCAGAGGACACTGTTCTTCGGCGCGTCTTTCTCGGCAGTGGCCGGGGCCGCCCCACGGGTGCTGCTCCTTTGGTTCACCTGGCGGGTTGCGTGTCACTCTGAGCCGGGTGCCCTGTCCTGGGCCAGCAGGTTGCCCCTTTCCGAGTCTGCTGCCCCAGGGAGGCTCTGGCTTCATCCCCTCTAAAGTCCAACAAACCCCTTGTTTTAGCCCTAACAGGGCCTGGGAGGCAGTCCTTCGGCCCCAGGCGGCCTGTGTCTGGTGGACCAGCTCCCCAGGGGCGAGGACAGTGGTCCTCAGGCTCCGCAGGGACCCTCCGCCAGCCCCGCCCCATAGCTTCGGGCCCGTATCCCTCACCGCCCTCTGGTTCTTTTACCAAAGCTCCTTTCCCGGCACGAGGTAAGGTCCACGAGGTTGGGGTCGGGTGTCTGCCCTCCTGCATCCCCGTGCCCAGCCCACGGCAGGTGCGCAGGAAGTCCCCGCACCGTGGAGCTCCAGCGGGCATCCTGCTGCGTGAACAGTGATGAGAACAAGACTGGCAGGGCACGGCCGCCGCGGGCCTCCTTGACTTCAGGAGACTCCCGTCCCACCAGCGTAGCAGTGGGGGGTCAGGGCTCTGGGCGTCACTCTGAGCCCTGCCCCGTCCCCAGGCTGAATCGCCGTCCAGGGCTTGCTCACGGCCGCCCGGGCAGGGCTGGGGCTCGCCCTCGGGCGCTGGACTGTCAGCTCTGGGCCCGGAGCTCCCTTCCCTCGGGGCAGCACGCAGGTGGGGGACGGCCACTGAGGGCAGTGGGTCGGGGGCCCTGGAGTCAGACGCGGGGCCTGCCCAGGAATGCTGCGGGAGTGCCCAGGAACACAGGGAAAGGACCGGGACGCGCAGGCGCCCCCAAACAAGCGGCCTCCAGGGGAGGAGGGGGAGAAGCAGCGGCTCAGGGAAATTCTGCAGGTGACGGGTGCTCCCTGGCACCCCGAGCTGAGCAAGGGCGTCTCGTGGACGCTCAGCCAAAGTGCACGGACCCCCGAGCTGTGCGTCAGCAGCAAAGGGAGGTCAAGGTTCTTCGCAAGGGGCTGGCGCCCCTGGGGCCCTGCGAGCCACTCCCGGACACGAGAAAGGGGCACTTGTTTATTGGCAACTGGATGGCCCGGCGTGTGGCCCCGGGGAGTTGCCCGCACCCTCCCCCCGCCCCAGGACGGAGGGGGCAGAGCGTGACTGGCTGGGGCCGGACAGGTGCAGGGCCCGAGGGACCGGGACAGGTCAGTTCCCGTGAGGAAATTAAGGCCTGGAGTTGAGACCTCCCCGCAGAGGGTGAGCATGGGGGGGGGGCAGGGTGCTGCCCACATCTGCCTTCCCCTACCCTCCCCCCCCCACCCAGGGCCCAGGTGCTCATCTGTAGGCTGCAGACCGGCTCCCAGGGCAGCCCGAGGGTCACCAGGGTTACCTAGTGGGCAGCCCGTGCCCAGGGCAAAGGGGACACCGAGGCCCCCACAACACTCTGAAAAAAGCAGAGGCCAAGAGGGAGGAAGAGGATGGTTTTTTCAGAGGCAACATCTACGTGAGGGTCTCTCTACAGACGGGCATCACCGGGCTGCAGGCAAACCATCTGCACCGACTCCGCCTCCGCGCTAGGCCAGGTGAGTGGCCAGGTGATGACGGGGTTGCTCGAGCACGTCCTGGGGGGTCTGGTCACCTTGCCAGCCGCCTCCCGGCCCCGCTCCCACCTGAACCCCCCCAGAAGCCGGCCTGTTCCTCCCACGGCGGCAACCACCAGAAGGGACGCCGGCCCGTGCCCCCGAGCAGCCCCCTGGGGGCTGTGCACCCCACATGTGACCTGCCCCCAGGCCTCCGTGCTCCCTGCTGGGCCTCCGGGGGCTCGGGCTTCACTGAAGGCCACCAGGCAAGCGTTCAGGGTGACGAGCGTCCATCCCGGGGCCTCTGGACTTGACCACCAACCTGAGCGTCCCCGCCACCAGGCCTTGCTCCTGTCCTCCCGGAGGCTGTGACCCTTAGTGCTTGAGCGCAGCCCTGGGGCAGACTGGGTGCGGCCCCGTCTGGCCCCACCACGACCGGCTGTGTGACCCAGCCCGCCCGTCTCAGGGCCTCGGCTTCCCCATCCGTACGACGGGAGCGCCAGCACGCACTCCGGATGGCGGACGGGGGAGCAGACGCGTGCCGGGCCCTGCCTGTCCTGGGGTGAAACGTGTCCCCCCAAGATGCACCAAAGTCCTAACCCTGGTGCCTGGGACCGGCCGCCTACTTGGAGATAGCGTCTCTGCAGGTGACCACGTGGCGTCTCTGGGGTGGGCCCTGATGCGACACCACTGTGTCCTCGGGAGGGGACGGTGGGCGCGTGACGACGGAGGCAGAGACGGGACTGTCGTGTCTGAGAGCCAGGAAACACCAAGGCCTCCCCGACCCGGGCAGCTGGGAGAAAGGCCTGGAACCGACTCCCGCAGAAGCTCCAGGAGGAGCCACCCTGTCCACCCTGATTCTGGGCCTCCAGCCTCCGCAACTGGGCGTCGGGCTGTTGTTTAAGCCCCGCCAGGCGGCTCCAGATCCCGAGGAGGACGTGGGGTACGGTAACCGGTGCCATGAATTGCTCGGGGTCTGGCTTCGGAGCCGCCGAGTCCAAGGTGTGCTGCTCCCCCTACACGTACGGAGATCCCACCCGTCCCAGGCGGCCCCTCCCCTTGCAGACCCAGCCCCCCAGTTAGTATTTACAGACGACCAGGCGAGCTGGCCTGGAGGCCACCCGTGACGTCCGTCCCACCCTCAGGGCTCCGAGGTTCCAGCCCAGCCTGTGTCCGGCCTCCTCGTGCCCAGGGGGCAACGTCCACCCCATGGGGGGCACAGTACCTGGCACACCAGAGGTGCTCACAGGTGTCCGCCTTTCGCTCAGGCCATGATCCCAGGGTCCTGGGGTCGAGTCCCTGCCCCCAGGGAGCCTGCATCCCCCTCCCCCCGCCCCTCTCTAATAAATACAATCTTTTTTAAAAAATGCCCGAGGTAATGAGCCAGACGAGCCCCTTAAGAAGGTGCATCTACTGAGCCGCACGGCCACCCCCTGCCCGAGGCCCCCAACCTTGCCTGGGGCAGGCGGGGGCTCCGGGACCGGGGTCCCTGGGGGCACCCTGTACCCACCTCCATCTCCGTCCAGGCCCAGCCCCACCCCTCGTGCCAGGTCCTGGCCGAGCACCGGCGACCCCGTAGCTACTACAACGTGAAGAACGCGGTGAAGCCAGCGGTGCTTGCAGTGCTCGTGTTAGTGGCGGCGGCCGGCAGTGTCACTGCCACAGGAACCCCTGCGGCGCAGCCAGCAACCCCCGGGGCCGCCTCCCCCAAGTCCACCCCCGGAGTCGAGGGGGGAGACGGGGGCTCGGGTCAGTAGGAAGCTGCGCCGGGCCCCGCAGCCCCCGGGAGGAGCAGCCCCTGGCGGCTGGGGCTGGGGCAGGACATGCAGAGCCCCAGGCCGGGCCCTGCACTCGCACCCAGGACCGGGAGGCCTGGGAGGGACACAGGACCAGCCAGCGCTGGCGCCAGGGGGCGGGGGTCAGGGAGGCGGGGGGGCTGCGAGACCCCCGCCCTCGGACCGCTGTGCTCTTCCTGCAAATTCCCCGAGGGAGGCACGGAGGCAGCCCAGCCCCGCGTCAGTCCGCCGCCGCCCGGTGCCTCAGTGTTCACGTCTGTAGGACGGGGCCCCGTGACGCCCCCACGGGAGAGCTGCGGGCAGCGCTGAGGCACTACGAGAGGGTCCCCCCCGGGGCACCCGGCACGGAGGGCGCCGGCTCTCCCGCCGTCGGATGGGGTGGTGGCTGGCTTCCACGGGCCCTGCACCGAGCGGCGCGGCCTGTCCAGCCCGGGCCCGGGCCAGGACGGTTGGAGCCGGGCGGGGACAGCTGCCTCGTCCCACACCCGCCGGACCCAAGGAGCGCCAGTCGGGGCCCGGCGCCGGGGCTATAGGGAGGCCCCGGCGGGCAGCGGGATCTTGTAGCCGCTCCGGAGCAGCGCGAGGCAGGCGGCCAGCCCCAGGGCCCCCGCCAGGAGCACGGCGCCCAGGGCCTTGAGGAAGGAAGTCCTGGTCCGGGTGAAGGAGCCGGGTGCCATGATGCCGAGCAGGGCCGTGCTGACCGTGAGCGTGTAGAGGATGGACACGCCGGTGTTGAGCGCCACGATCTTGCCGAACTTGGCAAACGGGGCGATGATGCAGAAGAAGAGCGGCACCGTGGCGATGACCGTGGTGAGGGCGCTGGACACGATGGCCACCCCCACGTGCCGCACGGCCTCCAGCGTCCGCCACTGGCGCTGCGAGTGGGCGTCCTGCGTGCGAGGGGAAGACAGGCTGGGGCCGGGCCCTGACGCGCCAGCGGGGCCCCTCCCTGCCAGGGCCGGCGCGCTCCCGGACGCCCCAGGTTTGCTGCCATAGACGGGGCCGGGACGGCACCTCCGCCCGCCCCGGGTTGGCGGGAAGCCGCGCCGACTGCCTGACGAGGGCGCACGGACCGCGTGAAGGCTGCGGGGACCCCCAGGCTGCGGCCGGCGTGCGCAGCAGGTCCTCGTAAACGGTCCTGACTGGCGCGGATTTCCTTCTCTTGACCCAAAGCAGCTAAAATCGTAGCTGGTTTAAAGCATGTTCGTGAATGTTTTCGCGCCAATTAGGAAAGAAACACACGAGACCCAGCGCTGGTGCTGGCACTGAGCGCACGAGGTCCGAGGGGCGGGGGGGCCCGGGCGGGGCCGGGGGAGACTCGGACGCAGGGAAGCAGGGAGGCCGTGGCCGCCGTCCGCCGCACCCGCGTGCTCACTAGAGACACAGGCGGGGAGGGAGGCGCCCAGGGCCCACTGCGCTGCCCTGGCCCAGCGGCCTTTGAACCTGAGTCCCCTGGGCACGGAGATGAGGCGTGAAGACCTCAGCCCGGGGCCGTCCCGCCGGCTCAGGGGCCCCTTCGCGGCACCGGGGCCAGGGCGCTCACCTCGGCCTGGTGGGGGGGCAGGTTCTCTCCGGCCAGCAGGTAGCCCTCAACCAGATGGACGCAGTAGTCCACGGAGGAGCCGACGAGGATGGACAGGGAGATGGCCTCGACAGCGCCCATCTCCCAGCCGCTCCAGTACATGATGGTCACCACGAGGCAGACGATGCCTGCAGGGGCAGGGCAGGGACGGGCAGGCGGCTTGCACCCGGCCTCACCCACACTGTCCTGGAGGGCGGCGGGCGAGCCCAGAGGGCCCCGGGGAACGGGCGATGCCTCTGGTGACAGGAGGGCCCAGGAGGGCCAGGCTCCGGGGGAGGGCAGGTGCAGCAGCAGGTCACTGGGCCAGGAGCGACCACCCGGCGACACCCGGGTCCCTTCCGGGAGCACAGACTGGGGGGCAGGTCCTGTGAGCATGTTACAGAGGGTCCTTCTGCCTGGCGGGGGGGGGGCTGGGAAACCTTCACTGAGGACATGGACAGCCAGGGGTGGAGAGGAGCCTGCTGGCCTGCGGCCCCCGCCCCTCCTGGCCCCACGGCCTGATGCCTGCCCCCGCCCCCCCACATACCCAGGATACTCAGGAGCACGGGCAGCAGGAGCAGCACGTGGGTGGTGAACACGGCCACCGCGGCCACACAGATGAGCAAGGACAGGGCCAGGCCGTACAGGGCGCTCTGCACCCCTGGAAGGCAAGGGCAGAGGGGCCTCAGCCGGGCTTCCACGGGTGGGCGGTCACAGCCAGCCGGCCCGCTCCCTGGGCCGTACGAGGACCCACCCGCGGGCCTCCAGGGCAGGCCCTCGCCAGGATGGCAGGCACGACGCGGGCCACCTCTCCACCCACCCTGCCAGCACCCGCTCCTCCAGGCCTGGGGACGCGGGGGAGAGGGGGCTGGGCTGCCGCTTGCCTATGATCTCCATGAAGATCTGCTTCCAGTGCTCACACGTCTGGAAGCCTCGGCGCAGGGCCGAGCCCTCGGGGAACGTCTGCAGCTGCTGCTGGAGGAAGCTCTCCCAGCGCAGGTAGTCCGAGTACGTCTGGAAGGAGGACTTGCCCTTGTACGTGGTCTGGGGGGCACACGAGCCGGTGAGATGGGGGCAGCGCCCACTCTCCCTGCCTGGTGACGGCTGGGCCCCCGGCCACCTCCCAGCAGCCCCCGGGAGCACGTGTGAGCCACACACGGGCAGCAGGTCCTGGCGCAACCACAGTGCCTGTCCCTTTCCAACAGGCCCAGCGGCCGCTCCCGGAGCCCCCAAGCGCTCGGCTCCCGCCCGGGCCCACACGGCGCCCCGCCCGCACGGCCACTCCCGGGTTCCAGCTCGCCCAGGAAAGCTTCCTGAAGCCCCAGATGTGCTGGGCTCCGCCGGGCTCGGGGCCTCCCTGGGAGCTGCGGCCTCCGCCCAGCGGCCTGCCGGTCTCCAGCCCCGCGGGGGCCTTCGGGGGCGCAGGGGAGACCGGGACCCCCACCCTTCTAGGGCCTGCTCCGGGCGCTCACACACCCACTTCTGGGCTCCCCGAGCGCGGCCCAGGCGCCAGGGTGTCCGTGGGCACGGGTGTGTGTGTGTCCGTGGGGTCGGCGTGGAAGGGACATCCCGCTGCGTGGATGCGCCTGAAGGGCTCCGTCCTCCCTGAACCGCCCAGGGCTTCAGCCCTCGAGAGGACGGGGATTGTGACAGGGGAGGCGGCCACGCTGGGGGCAACGAGCCGGCAGGGACCCGGGGCGGCCCCGTTCAGGAGCACCCAGTATCCGCGTGGTGCAGGCCTGGGGCGGGCGGCGCGGGGCCAGCGGGCGACCTAAGTACACTCAGTACCACTGAGCTGCGCTTCAGAAACGTTAAGACGGTCAATTCTGTCACGCGGATTTCGCCCAATTAAAAAACCCGCCCGGGGCTTTGAAGTGGGGTCTCCGTTGGCCTGGGGCTCCCTGGAGGGGGACCCGGAGGGGCTCTGGGGGCCTCCGGACTCTGGCCTGGTGCGTCTGTGGTGGGAAGGAGAGCAGGGCTGGAGGCCAGAGTCTGAGCCGGTTGTCACTCCTGCGTCTTTACGGGACGGCACAGCTGCTTCCCGGGGATCGCAGAGCCCCTTCCTCAGGGAGGAGCCTGAGGCCGGCGGGGAAGAGGGATTTGCCAGGGAGACGCGGAGCACACCAGGATCAGAGCCGGACTGGGCCCGGGTCTCCGCACGCGGCGCCAGGTGCAGGCTCGGGACCACGGGGCCCGCAGACGCCCAGGTCAGGTGCGCTGGCCCTCGTGTGTGTGCGGGTGTGCACGGGGGCCTCCCCCCTTGGGCAGGGTCCAGGGAGCCTCGGCACGACAGAGGAAGTAGTGAGGTGCGTGCACGGCTGGTCCTGGCTCCCGAGCTCTCCCAGGAGAGGCCCAGCACCCGGCCCCGCCAAGGGGCAGAGGGGAGCGTCCGGGACTCCCAGCAGCGCAGCGGCGTCCCAGCCCGGAGGCCACAGAACAGACCCCAGGCTGGTGGGAACAGCCTCCGTGGAAGAAAGGGCAGCGCTGTGGTCAGCTGCCTGGTGTGACGCTGGACGCCGACACGCACAAGCTGTGACCTGCAGGGAGTCCCCTCACCTCTTGGCTGCAGTATCCGCCCCCCAAGAGCAACCCCTGTGATCTGGGCCAGGGGCTGGGCCTCGGGACACACGCGAGGCGAGCACTGGGCCCGGGGGCCACCGCGAGCTCACCGACTCAAAGGCCATGGAGATCCACTGCACCCGGCCCTCCTTGACGCCCACCGCGCCGTGGGACAGCTGCCCCGGGAGCAGGTTGGGCTCGGGCAGCTCCCTGCACTCGGGGTGCAGCATCTGCAGGAAGGAGGAGGTGCTGTAGCCTGCAGGGAGAGGGGCAGACAGGTCGGGCCGGGGACCCCGCAGAGCACGGCCCTGCCCGACCTCCCAGCCTGGACTGTGGCCTGCGGCGGCGCTGCGAGGAAACCTCCACAGTCGG